ATGTTGTCAATAAAAGTATGTCTGACTGATTGATGAACGGAAACAACTGTCAACAAAGTGATACAAACTTAGTATGAACGATGACGAACAAAAAAACAAAAATCTATACTGTCTTAAGAAAAGAAATAAAGTGATGTTCAATATAAACTAAAAAATTTCATTATAAAATCCCTCGATTTATCCAACAATTTTTCTTTGTACTTAATGACTTGTATTAAGAAAAGCGAACTCATAAATGCCGTAATGGTAGTATTACTTTCCGGCTCATCATTAATAAGGGAATAATAACCTTAACAACAAAAAAAAAAAGAAAGATGTTGATTTTAACATGAAACATTTGCAATTCTTCGATCATACAGCTACATATTGAATGAATGACATTTTCTGCACAGGAGGACATAGAACAAAAAATTGACCTAATCGACTAGAAGAACTAGTCGTTTTACAAGATCATAAGATATTTTTTTTTGTTGTATAGCTATATCCTTGATCGTTTATATCGATTAGTTATTAATTGTATATGTCAATCAATAGAAAAAAGAAAAAAACTTATTTTTTTTTCTTTGCCTATGGAAATCAAGGAAATCAATCATATAGATTTATAAGATATTCATCTTATCAATTGCATATTAAATAATCATCAAAATGAATCAAGTAATCAAAATTGTTATAGAATTATATATTTATTGATTACATATAATTTATATTCTTTTGACGATAAGTAAACTCTTCATATTAATCATCTTCATATTCATAAGCTATTAATTCATTTTGCTTGAATTATTTTTAATAAATTCCTTTATATTAACGAATAATTAATAAATAGATACTATCTATAGGATTTACTTTAGTGTGATAGACCATCATATAAACTATTAATATTGATAACGAAAGGAACCATAAGAAACATACATATAGAATCGAGCTAACCTTATTGATACAATTTTCAATATATGTTTCTTAATGATTATTATTTTATCATATATAATTTTGTTTCCATGTTTCACAGATATTCATTAAAAATTATGATGAACTGATCTGTTTTATCAATAATAGAGAAATATTCAAAGTTTTTATTGATACAAAAATATTAAATATATAAATGGATAAGATATTGATTTTATCTTGAAAACAGAACAAATTAAGAATTTTTTTTTTCTTGTTTTTCAGTCATTCTTTGATAGTAATACGGAAGAATGAGAAAGTAATAACTAAAAACGAATTGTATCCTTTTCAGTATCTCTCATTAAGATATAAAACACCATTAGTTTTTTTTTTGTTGATTAATTATTAATATAAAATTAAATAAAAGAAGAATATTTAGTATAAATTCAACCGTCTTATCAAGATAAGATTAGATTTTTCTATAATTAGAAGCAAAAGAAAAAAAATTTAATCACCATATTGGATTTGATATGTTGATTTAATAAGAATTTCCTCTTCGAAACATTTTTTTAATCTCGTAAAGCCCACACATCTTTATTAAAATCATAATTTTCAAACGTTTGATTTATTAATAAAAACTTTGAATATTGTTTTCGTCATAGATAAAAACATTAGCCTATTTGAATTAAACATTCGAGAGATATTGATATGTTTGTTTATCATAAAGATATTTATAAGACATTTTGTACATACAGATTTGTCTTTATATCAATTTATACATATTGTCAATGATATATCAAGATTTTGTACAAAAATAAGTCAAATTATATAAAACATTAGTGTAATTTTCGTTACAATTATTCATTAGATTAAAACAAAAATACAAACTTTTGAATATAATATTATTATCGATTTTATACATATGTATATTTATTACAAAAGGAAAAAGATGATTTAAACATAATTTTTATATATCAAATTAGTTAAATGATAATATTTACATGCAAATTTTATATTTTGCATGATTATGAAAACTTTTATCCTGTTGAGAATATACAATAAAAGCTGATTTCTTTAGATAAAAAAAAATCCCACAGGATAAAGATAATCACTTACGTATACACATCAGCAACTTAACTTATCCACATAAAATCAATTTATTTTTAATCTTCTTTTGCATCATATGTTTTCATATATATCAACAATTTCATGTAATTAAGAATCCTCAAATAATATTTTATGTATCAATGTAGACAATGAATTATTACAACATGAAAGTTAATCAATTAACCAAAAAGAAAAAAGAAAAAAGGATTTACAAATTTAGAACTATATTTTATAGGATTTGATCTATTGAGGGAAAAAAAAGACAGAACTTTTTTTTCTGTCTTTCTTCTTATAATTAATTTGACAATGACTTACTTCATGAATTTGACCACTTGCGTCATCACTTGTTGCACTTAACAAACTTGTTTGACTTTTTCGAAAATCATTTATTCGATCGAGATCGAGTGTTACAGTAGATAGTCTACTGTTCATATTTGTTGTTTCCATCGTCAATCTAAAAAAAAAAAAAAGAAAAAAATGACAGAAAACATCTATGAAAATTGACTTATGTCGTCTCGTATTTTTCTCTCCGTTTTTCTTTAGGTTTTTCTTTTCTTGTCATCATACCATCTAAAAAAAGGATTCCATACACAATTTGATGGTTATATAGATAATTTAATTTATTAAGAAAACTCGTACTCATCCAATCTATTTTCATCGTTTACCAGAACAAGAAACCACAATAGTAGTTTTTCGATTAGTTGACTCAATAATGCATGCTTACGACAATAACATAAGCAATCATTCAGATGAGATTGTTGAACATAGAAGAAAAAAAAAAGAAATAGTATATATATATATGAAATGAATACAAAAACACGTTTAGTTTCACGGAACTACTTGATTAAGCTTATATAAATCTATCATTGTATAAAAAAAGAAAAAGATTAATTAATTAATTTGAAATGTAAAAATATAATTTCATATTTATTCTAAACAATGAAAATAGATTTTCAATTGAAGAAGGACATACACACTCATATGGAATAGGTTATAATATATATATATATGTTCGATGTTTTTATTATTTTACGTGTTCTGTTAGTCATTAACAATCAAGATGACATTTTCAATATGCCACATAAATTCCATATGACGATAGCACTTGTCGGAGAAAAGAAGACGAGTATAAAGCATGAGAATTATCTATAGATATAGATCTGTTTTTGTTATTTAGACAAATCTTAGAAAATAAAAAGACCAAAGTAAATATTTACAGACATGTTTTGCCTATTTTTTTTTCCGTTATTCCATATAATTTGTTTTCCTATTTTATTTAGTTAGAACCTATTTTTGGGAGTTAGATCGTAATAGTTTGCATGAATATTATGATGAAATATGTCAACTGTTTTCTTTTTCTCTCGTTTGATATATGTCCATGTGAATTAATATTGAGTTGATAACTTGCCTTATCCAATAGTACAGATTATACCTCATTAGGGACATGAGAGATTTCATAATTTCTTCTTTTTTTTTTATTAGTAATTAGACCTTTTTCCGTAATAGGAGAAACGTACAAAGTTTTCAAAGGGTGTCGGTCTTCTTTTGTGTCTCGTTTAATTTTCAAAGTTTCTAATTAAAAAGATTTTTGGTAAAAAAAAAATGATTTTGAAAGTTTTAAAAGCTCAAAATTCATCTTGATCTCAATTTTGTAAGATTTTTTAGGTTAAAAGTCTGAAAATTAGGATATGTTATGATGTAAATATACTAATCGGATACAATGATCGTCCTTCATTTGAAAAGTCACATATATCATTTTGTAGAATAACTTATACCACATTGAATGATATATAGGAAATTGCTTTTTCAGCATATATTTATGTTCTGAGAAGCCATATACTAGTTAATAGATATTATAGCACATGTGAATAATACGACTAAATATAGGGATTCAGTATGTCTCCAAACCAAGTCATATCAAATTTCGTTTAGAGTTACTTCAGTTGTATATATTTGATAATACTCATAAATAACTTTCTTTGCATCTAACATCTTAGCATTTTACTATTTTTTGGCTTTTATCATGTTTTAAATTGTTCAACACTACTCATAAATACTTTTGTTAGTGAAAAAGTTTCTATCTATTTAACAGTCGACCATTACGCATGATTGGGAAAGTAACTTTTCGTCTCACGTTTTCATTGTGAACTTCAGTTGAAATAGTCCGTTACGATCTTCGAACATAAGCAAAAAAGACAGGATGTTCGGAATGAAGTTCTCAATAGCAAAAGTCAACGAAAAAGCAGAATGTTCGGAGTGAAATTTGTCCAGGAGTTCATGACGAACTCCGACAACTCATTATTAGTGATTGAACAGCGAAGTTTTGACTGGAGATCGGAATGAGAAAGTTCAAAAGTTCGTAATGACAAAGACCGAATGGTTGTAACGACCGCTTCCGAATACTCTGTCACACCATTCCGATTTGTCTGCTTTTCTATTACGATCTCTCGTACAAAAATGTTTACAGACTTCCGTCATAGATCTTTAAGGACAAAAATTCATTTCCGGACACCCGGATACATGTTTGGAGTTTGAAATGACTTGAGACGAAAAGTAGGTCACCCTAATAAGGCTGTTAAAACTACTCATATCAAATATGGCTTGTCTTTTCATATTAACTAAAATTTTTCTCTTCTAATTGTATAATTTTTCTTTTTATTCTTTCTTATGCTTGTCAAAGAAAAAATGTTGATATTTAGTTTTTGATGTTGTAATAAAAACTACATTAGTAATGTATGTATATATAAATTAAGCACTAATTTAATTGGGAGATGAATTTGAAAAGGTCTTCCGGAAACAAATAAAAAACAGGAATCAAATTCGGAAAGAATTAAGGAGAACAGACGAATCACGAGTAGCCTATTTAACATATCATAAATGCTACAAATTACTTATAATTGACTATTTTAAAAACTAATGATAATTCTTCGTTTAAGTGTAGTTTATTTTTATTAGTATTTGCATTTAGAACAAAAAAAAGAATATTCTTATCTTTACTTATTTAAATTATGATAAGAATGTTAGTTCTAAAAGAGAGAGAGACAAAAAAAAACATTGAAATAACTACAAATCATATCGACACGTTATTTAATTTTAAAATGTTTGAAAGTTTTTAGTAATATTTTATTTATTGGCATTGCATTAGCATTATTTATATTAAATATAATTAAATATGCCAATAGTTATCTTAAACGAGATAATTATAACATAACTAAAAATGTCAAAGGAGATTTTTATATTGTTAAAGAAAACTATCCAAATGTAACAACATGGAATTCGAATTGTACGTATAATTATACAAAATCAGATGCTGAAAATATTTTACAATGATTTATTGCATCAAAAACAAGTCAAAATCAAGTTTTTCATGTATTTTATTGGTTTACGATTACAATTTCATTTATTATATCAATTATTCCACCGAGTATATATGTAGGAAAATATTTGATATCAGATGATTATAATATTACCGAACGATATTGTTTAACAAGTATAATTCTTTTTATTCGAACATTTTTTAGTACAACAATTTTTATTTTTCCAAGTTTTTATATGTATACATTTGATTTTACTAATCGAATATGTTTAAATGGATATCCATCAAAATTTTCAATAGATATATTACTATTTATATTTGTTACATTTATTTGTTTAATTATTTATTTTTTATTTGATTTTATTTTAAATTCATTTTATGATAAACATAAATTTTGTTGTTCAATAGAATGTTTATCATATTGTGGTTTATGTATATTAATTTTATTAATTATTGGTATTATTCTCTTTTCATCAACAATTATTGCCTATGTTTTTGTTGTTTCATTTATTCAAAAACCTCTTCGATTAGCAGCAATTCTTATTGTTGTTCAATTTCCTTTTTCTTATTGTACAACTTTTAGTTGATTGATTTATATAATTATTCAATAAAAATTAATAAGAATTAATTTGTTTTTTTGATGAATAGGATAATGAAAATTTTTATTTGAAAATAAAAGCTTTTAAGAATGATGAATTTATTTTTTCAAACTATTCAACCTATCTGATATAGAAAAAAAAAAGGAGTGCCTGTAAAAGCTACGGACACTCGACAGATATTCACGGTTACTTTGGTTTTTATTTATACAAGATGTTTTTACAAATAACTGTTAAGGTAACTATCATTATCTTTTAAAATTATAACTAAAGTAACCACGGGCATCTGCAGGTATTTCGGGAGTGTCTATGGATGAGCGCAGTTTTTATACGCACCCATGAAAAAGAGAATTTTTTACAAAAGAAGACCTAAAGGATAAAGTTAGATAAGAAACCTTAAAAGATTTATGTCAAAATTATTTCTAGATTTTTAACACCCTAAAAATCTCCACTCAAAGCTTTAAAATAATTTTGGTTGTTTTTTTTTGCGAAATCTTTTGAATAAAAAATTATGAAAGTAAATAAGATACAACAGAAAACACGTCTGAAAAATTCATATGACTGGACATTATAGAAGACCTGAGGTCTTCTTTTGCATCGAGGAATTTATTTTATGATTGAATTGTCTTATATACTAGTCAATTAAAATATTAGCATTCTCCATAGTTCATCAACAATAAAATCATAAATACTATGTGGAATTTTGACTGGATATCTTTCACATGATTTGTTTATTCTTAAGTTTGGTATGGAGAAAAAAAATCTAAACACCGATGCTCCAACCGATGGCGATTACACATTTTTCAAGAAAACTTTTTTATGTTATCTTTTCAGATTTTCAAGGATATGTAAAATACACTGAAAGATGAACTTCAATGTGCACTTTTGCTACACTTGATTTAGGTCGGATAGACGATCAGTGATTGAATAATAATTAGTTGCAATTGTCAAAATTAATATTATCAAAGTAGTTTTATTAGTATTAGAAAAAAATAATTCAAATAGAAGTCAACAATGTAGCCGAATCATATATTCCAGAACAAAGGACATTAGATATGAGAGCAAATAATAGTTGCTTTAGAAAATTACAAGAATTCATACAAATTTTTCTTGTTTTAAAGATTTTATTTTCGATATTGCACAATGAATTTAACTTTCATCTTTTCATAGACTGTCGATAAATTGAAAAGATCAATGTCAACAGTCTATTATCGTTCATTAGCGAGATCATCTACTTATTCATTTCATGAGATGCATCTCGATTTGTTACATGTTGCACTCCTTCTCACATTATGCTGTCTGTATGATTGAATTACATATGCATAAATTTAGATGTATAGAAAATAAAAAAGTAAAATCCTGTTCCTGTCAAACATACGACAAAATATTGTCGTTCAAGAATGATTCGACTAATTATTATTATCTTATGTATGACATACTAATAAGACTATCTCTATAGGTATAATGAATGGAAATTTAAATCGAGATTTTTTCACTCCCCGCTTAGGTTCTAGCAATTAAGGAGAGGAAGTCAAAGATTATCAGATAGGTTTTCATAACAATGGGGAGAGGCGGGAGGCTAACGATCATATTGGATATGCTTTCCTAGCAACGAAAAAAGAAGAGTAAGTAATAACAGTGCTTAGATCATTCTGGAAATTTCTAGAATCTTTCGAAACATTCCTTAACAATGTATGCCAAAGTTCATCAACAAAAAGGATGGTGTGCTCGAAAGCTTACTGAACGATTAAACTAATATATATAGCAGGCTAATATGGTAGCTGAGCTGACGAAACGAAGAATAAAATAAGTTATATAATGAAGATGCATCTGGCAATACAAAGAAGTTTTTTTCAGTATAACGATGTTACATGAATCAAACAAGTTGGTAGAATAGGAATTCTAAATGCAAACATGTTCGAAATGATACACTGGAAATAATGTTGAAGTGTAGAGATAGAAATTAACCCCCTCCGCTTCTCCAGAGCCACGACAGATGTAACCATGAAGGCGTTATTAATATACGATCACAGTCCATATATTAATAATGTCTCGTTATAATAGATGAACTATTTCCTTATTGTATTTCTGAAGGATTAAGTAAGCGAATGGTGAAGAAATGTATCCCATAGATAGAATAAAACAGTCTCTGTTAGAACTCGTCAGATTAATCCCGCGGCCGAGTCTGAAATTTTTCTGTTAATCGTATCTGCAAATTTTACACTCAATGAGCTCTAATCTTCGTGTGATTTGCAATAGTAGCTACATCGTGTTTCATATTTTAATCCTACGGGGATTTTGCTAGCAGCCTTTTCATTATAACTCAGATTCACGAGATTTAAGATCATTTCTTTTATTTTTTATAATTTTATTAAACGTCAACTAATAGATCAATAAGTATAGAAAAGTCTGTTCTAATGTTAAATCCTCAATGTTTAGTAATATATATATATATATATATTGATAAAAATTAATTTGATTTATATTTTTCAAAAAAAGCTCGTATTGAATCAATTATTTGTTGTGTATGTTCAAGAAGTAACATATGAGTTGCACCAGGAATAATAGTTAATGATGAATTTTTATATAATTGATGATAACGATAAGCATTTTCAACAGGTATTAAAGTATCATTATCACCCCATATAATTAATATTGGTATATTTAATTTCGCAATAAATTCAATTGATTTTAATGAAGATTCAAAATTAAAATTTGTTAATGTTGAAAATAAAGAACGTAAATATCCAGGATGTTGTTGGCAACCCAATCGGAATAAATTTTTATATTCTTCATAATATTCTTTGTCAGGAAAAGCCCATTGTAAACGTTCTTTTTCATCATCATGATGTTTCATAACATATTTAAAAACTATTGGACCAATTATAGGTAATGATATCATAAACATACGAATTTTTGATGGTTTTACTAAATTAAGTCCAGCTGGACAACAAAGAATTAATTTTGATACTCGCGATGGATAAAGTTCTGTAAAACGTTGAATAATAGCACCACCCATACTAACACCAAATAAATTATATTTTTCATACGAAAGATTTAATGCATATAAAAGTTCAGCTAATTGACAAACAAATATATCAATATTCATTGATACATAAGGAGCATCAGACCAACCACGACCATACAAATCATATATTAAACATGGTTGATTATCTTTAACAAATGTTGGAAATATATATTGCCACATTTCCATTGGAGTTGAATAACCATGAACGAATATATTTAATGGTAATGATAATGATGATGACGATGATGGATGATATATATAATGAACAGTACCAAATGAAAGCTCAATAAATTGATCAGGTCCCATTTTAGTTATAGGTGTAGTAGAAGTTCGATCATATGAACGTGATAAACGACCACGTTGAAACGTAAGATAATCATGAAGTTTAAAAAGAATTATACAAATCAATATAATAAGAAATAATATGAGAAACAACATCTACAATTAATTTTATGGTTGCTGTTTTTTTCTCTATGAACAAATTTAAAAGAAGATTCTATCAATCGAAATAAAGTGAGAAGAATAATGTCATAAATCTGAGACTGACCTTCAGTTTTATGAGTCTTTAACACTCTGAAATAATTAGGTTTGTTGATTTTTAGCTATTATCAACCGTAGATGATAACAACATGCAAATTAACAAAAGGCTGTTGTTACAACAGAAAATGATGAAAGATAAAAAGCATAGTCATCATAGGACATATATTGACAGTAGATAATAGTGATAAAGTTGAAGCTAAATCGTAAAAAGATAATACTAATGAAAAACAATTTTGAAAGAATTTATTGGATTTTATTCAATAGATTTAACATGATGACATGCAAATCAGATAAAATACTTTCAAGTTATTTTCATCAAACGCTACCGATAATTCTTTTAGCATAGTCTCTTGGAAAAGTTTCTTAAAACTTGTTTTATCGATTCGAGATTCAATCTTACTTAGAGTTGACTAAAAGTTCTAAGCTCGTTGTTTAAAGGACCTTGCCGGATAAAGTAATCTATTGAGAAATGAAAAACCAAATGTTTGATGTTGTAGAGCTTTTTGAGGTACGTCGAATGGTATATAATAAATCTTGTTTTCATAAGACTTTGAACGATCTAGAGTCAATTTACTGATAGACGACTGCACATCCACACTGACAAGATGACCGGAGATGTTACGCATATGAGATTGTAGCCCGTTAAAAACTCTACAAAATCGTATGTGAGAAAAAATATTTTACAAATACTTTCGACTAATACCAAGTACCACAATATTCAGTAATCTGCCATACTTGGGTGTGAGTGTGTAGTTGTCTATCAGTAAATTGACTCTAGATCGTTCAAAGTCTTATGAAAACAGAATTTACTATGTATCACTTGACGGGCCTCAAAAAGCTCTACAACATGGTATATTTGGTTTTTTATTTCTCAATAAATTACCTTATCCGACAAAGTCCTTTAAACACTGGGCTTAGAAATTTTGGTCAACCCTAAGTAAATAACTGAAAATATTTATGAGCGAAGTTCGTCGACTGACACTCGCTATTTGAGCTCATATATTGAGGGTGAGTGTGGGTGTGAGGTGTAAGTTACACCTCACACCCACACTCAAGTAACTTCCTTTTGTATGTATATTTTGAGGACTGATGATAAGTCATTAATCGATCGTTCGATGAATATTTGTATCTATATATATAGAGAGAGAGAAAAAAAAAGAAAGAAAGAAATGTCTACTATATAAACCATGTTGTTGCTTTCTATTGTTTACATTTAAAAGATACAAAATGAATTACGAACAAGTAAGCTATTACGAAATAATAAAATTTGAATGAATTTTTTTAAATATAGCAATTAGATCAGTTGAATAAAATAATTAACATTTGCTACACGATACAAAGTACTGCATCTAGAAATGTTGTTGACGCATTATTACAAATAGGAACATTAACAAATTTTATCACGGGTTTGATAAACGAGGGT